TGGAACTTTTATTTTTCTATTTGGAACAGTTTTGCACTTTTTTATCCTTAATATGGCACCAAATAGCTAAGGATAGTTGGTAGCCCTGACCGGAACAAAAATAATACGATGTTTATTTGGTTCAGTTTATATTTGCTGCTACTTGCGATCACAATTCTGGTTTAGCATCCTACATAATCTACAAAAATCATAACCCCCGGTTTCAGGGAAAAAATCAACGTCGAAAGTTTCTAAAAGATCTCTCCAATCAGCTATGCATGCCTTCAGTTGAATCTCGAAGTGCAAATCGAATGATGATGAGAAGCCATTTCCTTCGAAGTGCAATAGAAATGGTACTTGGCCGTCGCGTTGTGGCATCTACAGCAGCTGTCCTTCAATTACCTCATGGTAGCCGCGGAGCCTCCCCTATCACTGGACGTTGCTATATCTGTCGGAACTCAAATAGGAAACAACGCAAAACTCGAATGCTTTGCATATCTTGTGCTTATCCAATTTGTGATGAACATTCAGTTTCAAAAACAACGTGTATTTATTGCGAAGAAACTCTCTAAAAATGTCAAAATGTATATTATAAATCGTTGTTCCTAAATTGAATTGTCTCGCTTGTTACTTTTTTATATAGTTTATTATCGCTTCTTATATGAATTAGCTCCGTTTGTGTTTCTTTTTTTTTATAAAAAAAATTATATATAATTAAAAATAATAATAATCTTCTTTTTTCTTCACACCAGATATATGAAGGTACAATTGTACCTATGCGCTCTGACGTGGGTGTAAATTTAACACGGCCCTCTATTTCAGAAAATAGTGGCCCATTTTGTTTTAAATTAAGGGAACATGTGGCGCAACAAAAATGTAGAGATGTCACGAAGATCCAGCCCTCTAAGTTTTCTGGAAAAAAAGTTATTGTAATTTAAAAACGCAAAAGTTACAATTGTACCTAGTCGCACGGACGAGGGTTAAGAATCGTATTCATTGCCATAGTAGGTGTTGTGCGGAGAGCTCCACTAATGCAGATCAGGGACGTTCTCTCCACTTTTTGTAATTTAATACTGTTTATTTTCTTCTCCAGCACTGGCCACCATACCACTACTCCGTACAGAAGTATGGGCCTCACCACGACGGTGTATATCCAGTACACTAGCTTCGGGGCTAAACCCCATTTTTGGCCGATTGCTCTCCTGCAGCTGTATAGGGCAACCGGCCTTCCGAACCCGCTCTTCGGTGTTTTGAATCCAGCTTAATTTTTTTATCTAGGACTATCCCCAGGTATTTAGCAGATTCGCTTAATTCTAGTGTGGTCTGTGCCAGCGTTGGTGTTATCAATGGGGGGTTTTGTACCTTCTTGTGAACAGTACAAGTTCTGTTTTGCTTGGGTTTACCCCTAACCCGTTATTTTTTGTATAACTCTCGACTTCCTTCAGTTTTACCTGCATAATGTCACATAGGGTCTGTGGAAATTTCCCACTTACTGTTAGTGCAAGATCATCCGCATACGCAATAACCTTACAGCCACCCCCTCCATGCCACACAGCTATAGTTTACTTTAACTGAATTTGTAAAACAAAAACCCCGAAACTTATTGATTTAATTAAATATTAATGAGAAAACAATGTACAAAAAACTGGCGTCGCATTTATTCTGCTGGTTGCAGTTAGGTGTAATGAAAACATGGCGGTGCTTGGTGTTGCCAATATATTACTTTTAGAGAAGAGGCCTTATCATGAGTTTCATTTTCCCCGAACCGGTTCACTTTTCACGTTTGGTTTCCATGTATTTATTATGGGCGGTGAAATTTTTTCGGGCGAAACTCAGGATAAGGCAAAAGGTTTTAGTTAATGATGCGAATAACAATAAATGTGAAAGACTTTAAGTTTTTTACAATTAAAGAGCTGACAGAACTTTTTCTGCGTAGGAGCCTTCGGTCGCGCTTTGGGATCATAACCCTTACTACGCAGAATCTTCCTTTCTGTTTTGCGGAGAAGAGTGGCAGAACTTCTTCCTGCGTAGGCGGCCTTCGGCCGCGCTTACTACGCAGAATTCGCCTTTATGTGTTGCCGAAGAAGAGTGGCAGATCTTCTTTCTGCGTTGGCGGGATTCGGCCACGCTTAGGCATCATAACCCTTACTATGCAGAATTCTCCTTTCTGTGTTGCCAGAGAAGAGTGGCAGAACTTCTTTCTGCGTAGGCGGCCTTCGGCCGCGCTTAGGGATCATAACCCTTACTACGCAGAATTCTCCTTTCTGTGTTGCCGGAGAAGAGCGGCAGATCTTCTTTCTGCGGAGGCGGCCTTCGGCCGCGCTTAGGTATTATAACCCTTACTACGCAGAATTCTCGTTTGTGTTGGCGAAGAAGAAGGGCAGAACTTCTTTCTGCGTAAATGAGTAGTCTGTTACTACGTTTATGCGTAGGTTAATTCACGAATCCATTTCATGAATTTGGTTTGAAATTGGCTGCATAAACACCATTTGATGAATTGAGTTATACACGAAAGTTAACCTTGAATCCGGCATCATTTCATGAAATCGTGAAGTGCAAGTCCGGCAACGTCACGTTTCACAAACAGCTGCTTACTAGGGTTATGATGTTTTTAGATTAATAACCACGAGTGGCATAATACCATGTTCTGACCGACATCGAAAACACGTTTTCGTTGCTAAAACTGGTTTTCGACTTAAAACATGTGTTTTCGTCCATGTAAAATCTGTCAAACGAAAACCAGTTTTCGCTGAAAACTACTTGAAAACTCACGTTCCACTCATTCCAATCGGTGTCTTCACTAGTTTTTTTCGATTATTTATCGAAGTGGAAGTAATATTTTATCATCTTTAATACGCCATTTCGGATTTATTGTTAATTGGCTGGCAAAAGTAAAATAAGAAAGTAATAGGTTGCTAATGAAAAGAAAATGAGGGAAAAGCATTTTGGTATTGTTTTTGTGTAGTAAAACTGTAATCAGAGGATGTAGGAAATGTCAACGAAAACAGTAACAGCCGGTGTGAACAGCCTTCAGCCCACAATCCCAAAACACGTTTTCAAAGTGTTTTCGTTGTCGGTCAGAACATGGTATAACCAGGAAAACACGGGAAAAGTTATGTGGAATTGTTCAAATTAGGGCTGTGCGATTATTCGATTAATCGAGCAAGTTGGTTAATCAATTATTCGGTAAATCAACTATTCGAGTAATCAAGATTTTGATTACTCAAAACGATGATTAATCGAGTTACTTGAAATATGATTACTCAAAAATAATAATTTTGCTCGTTAAAAGAGTTTGCTTTAGAAAATGCTTATTTTATTTTTTACATTCTGTATATGAAAAAAAAATTTCGTTTTAATTTTTGAAAACAGAAACGTTGTTTTCACAGTATCAAGGAACTTTAACTACTTTATACATATGTAAAGAGTTGAAATGTTGATTACTCATTTTACTCGAAATGTTATTAATCATGAAGCAAATTACTCAAATATTTTTTTTTTTGGTTAATCCAAAATCTTGATTACTCGAGTAACTGAACTCTTGAGTAATCGTAATTTCTAATTAATCGAATAACTGAGTTATTTACTTTATGATTAATTAAAATTTTGAGTAATCAATTAATCGCACAGGCCTAGTTCAAATATAAAATAAATTCAAATAGAATAAACTGAAAATATATTAAAACCAATTTAAATAAAACCCAAATTGGAAAGGCACAGAATTTAAGCAATTTCCGCTGTAGACAGGGATTGTAGTGTTTAAAAACGAACTGTCTGACGGCCAATATTACCAGTTCCTCTTAGGGCCGATTGCACCATGTCTAGTTAATTCTAACTCCCAGTTACACATCTTTATCGACGTTATCGACACCCATCATATAACATGTGATCGATAAAGCAGTTAACGTGCTTAACTGAAGGATGTACCTCCAGTTAGCGTTAACTAGACATGGTGCAAACGGTCCTTACTCCATTGCGCTTATAGGATGCTATGTTGCCCAAAACAACGTTCATCGAATTTGAATATGTGCCAACAAATGCTAGGACTTTTCGTAGAAAACTTTCCAATTATTTTCGGGGAAAATAGCCTTAGTTATAATGCTCATAGTTTGCTTCATATAAAGGAGACCATAGAACAGGTAGGCGATCCAGTTGAAGGGTCGTCTTATGCATTCGAAAATTGTCTACAATTTCTTAAGCGCAGTGTTCGAAAGCCTAGCAAAATATTAGAACAAATTCATAGGAAAATAGAAGAAGAAAAGATTGTAGTTCCTTCTCTTGTCAGTGAGCCCAAATTAGTTGGCAGTTCAGTTTCATGGTTGTATTTTGACAGCTAAATCACCTGACAATTATATCTACATTAAAGAAAATATACCTGTTATTATAAAGGCTGCGTTTCTTTATACATTCCGGATAATCCCATTTCACAGCCGGAATAAACAGAATGCGTTTGAAATATACGTCAACATATCATCAGGAACGTTCTAAAGAATAAATAAACAAAAAAGTTTATTCCAAGCATTCAGAATGAATAAAGAAATGCAGCCAAAATCTTTTATGGAAGATAATGGTGGAAATACAGTTGGTAGGAGATTTAGGAATCTTAGGAGTTTTTATACCGAGCCATTTGACTCTACCAATATAGGTATTTATTTAGTTGACCTCGTGCCGAGTAATCTAGATGAGCTTTTTTCACTGGATTTTGAATGCAATGCCGTAGGCATACCGTACTATAATGATTGGTTGTTATTGCCAATGCTACATCATTACAAGAACTAACTGCCTTCATTTATATGTTGTACGTACACACTTCGTATATTAATACCGTCACCATTGAACTAAACAAGTACTTAAAAATGTCCGAAATTCGACGAAAGATTAAGAAAGTAGAATTTAGTATATGCCATAAGTAGTTTAAAATTTATTGTTTAAATACCTATATACATATATGTGCCGACTTAATTTTTTGGGACTACTTTAATGTGCATAATATAATAATTTTAATTTTATTTCAGAACCCGAACGGAATTGCGGCTGCTCAGTCATGTTGAACGATATAAAAAAACTCTTGATGACATAATGGAAAAGATGGAAGAAATAGAAACCAAAATTGATGAACAAAAAGGTACATATGTATATTGAGAGGGGCAATTTGTTTATTTTGTAATAAATTATTTTTTATTTTCAGTTGAAGATAGCATCACTCAGAACCAAATTGGTTTTTTGGCGGACACTGTGGCCGAGCAGAAGGTAATTTTGGAGACCTCGAGGGCCTGAAGACAATCCATGAAAAAATAAATGGAGGAAACAGGATCTTATATGTATGTATGCATAAGTACATATTTATGTAAAGACACAGAATTTCATTTGGTTTATATTTTCACAGATATCGGCAATTCAAAGTAACCTTGGACCAGAGGGTGTAGCCAAAAATTTAAAAAACGTTTTGTGTGACCAGATGAAAATAAATGTAGAAGGTGTACAGGGGAAAGAAAGTTTAAGGCAATTTAAATCTTTCTACGAAGCATTAATCGGTTAGTTAATTTTAAATCTATAAATATTCTCAACATTTTAATTATAATTATGTATATAATGTCAGATGCAATTGGAAAAGGAATAGGACATTCAGAGCTCCTACTGAAAAGGGCCATACAGCTTCAAAAAAAGCGTGTGTTCAAAAGAAATAGCGTAATGAATAGCAGTAATAATAACAGTACGGGTTAAAATCTACGTTGTCGTTTTGGTAATTTTTTTTTACCAAAATTTATATATTTTTTTTATAATGAACTTGGTAATTTATTTTTCAGTTTTGTAACTTTTTTCAGACTAGGTATTCCTTTAAGCTTTTGTAACTTATACTATGTTCAGACCAAAAATTGATCTCCTCAAACCAAAATAAATATTTTTATTAATTCTCGCCGTTCACACTGCTGTTGGAGATTCATGCAACAGCTGTTTCTGACATATTGCATATTGTCTATTTAAATTTTTTTAAATCCCGTAAACGGTTAAATATGCGTTTTATAGTAATAATAGTTATCTTCTTTTTCTTAAATATTCTCCATTCAATGGAAATGATGGAGGAATTATTTGATTTTAGGCGCCAGGCAATGAGACGTTTGTTTCTTGCTCAAACAATGCACAAATTAGTTAGTGCATGTGCATCAAATGCAACAAGGTCAGTTTGGACAAAGGCAAGTATAACATTTGTATAATAATTGCCTTGGTTTAATTAAAATAAGTACATAATATAGATTCGTGGCCAGAAGTTCTGGGAAGTCGATTGCCAGATGAATTCCGATGCATTTTTTAAAAGTAATTTTCGGATGAAGCGTAAGTCTTTTAAGAAATTGTGCGATATGTTAAAAGGTCTGGAGAGGAAAAACACCAACTATCGCAAGGCAATTACTTTAGAAAAACGAGTTGCAATTGCTTTGTACGCCCTTGGCTCTTCGGCAGAATACCGCACAATTGCAAATATGTTTGGTATCGGTAAAAGCACTGTCTGCACCATTTTGATTGAGTTCTGCCATGAATTGTAGAGATGTTTGTGGCCGTTATATTTGAATAAATTCCCAATGAACGAAATTCAATTAAGGGAGTATTTAAATGGTTTTGAATCACTGGGTTTCCCTCAAGTGTTAGGAGCTATTGGTAGGAAATTGTATTTTTTAGAATGGATTTGCTTTGACATGAAGGTTTCAGATGGGTGCCACATAGAAGTTCATCCACCAGCAGAAGATGCAGTTGATTACCACAACTATAAAGGCTGGTACTCTATGGTCCTTTTGGCTTTGGTGGATGCAAGGCAAGTTTTTACATAAAGCTATTTTTGAACTTTTTAACATACATATAATTTTCTTTTATTATTTTATAGGTGTCGTTTCATTTACATCAATGTTGGTAGTCCAGGCCGTTGTAATAATTCAGCAATCTTTGAAAGTTCGTCATTAAAACGGCAGTTCCAACAATGCAGCTTGTTCAAAGAAATGACTAGGAGAATATCATCTGTTAATGTTCCAGTTATTTTGCTAGGCGACTCTGCCTTCAAACTAGATGTACATTTGATGAAGCCGTATCCCTTTTGCGTTAACCAACCGTTGAATCAAAAAAAATTTAACTTTGCCCTGTCTAAGTGCCGAAGAGTTGTCGAAAATGCTTTCGGCCATTTAAAGGCAAGGTTTAGGCGGGTTGGCAAAGGCCTGGACAACCACATGATCAACGCGAAAGCTATTATCAAAGCATGCTGTGTTTTGCACAACTTCCTGAATGAGCAAAATGATGAAATCAATGAAAAGTGGATTGCGGCACAGCAAATTAAAGACCAAAGTCGACAGTGGCCAGAAGACGAACCCAACATATCTGAAATCTTTAACACAAGGGCAGAGGAAATAAGACAAGCCTTTGTTTCGCATTTTGGTATGTTATTTATTACATTAGTTGACAATAAATCCGAGTACTATATCGGAATATAACAAAGAATATTTTTTCGAGATATTTTAAATAAATTCTTGAATATTTTGAAAATTTGAAATAGTTTTTTGAGATGTAAAATTTCCCAAAATATATGAATATGAAATCGGAATATAAGAAATAAAATTTTTTTGAGGTTAGCAAATTTCGGTTTTTGGAAATCAGAAAAGATTGCACCCGCTTAATTGGCATAGTTTTAATATAGTTGGCCAATCTGTAGATTTATTTTTGCACTAGTAAAGCTTATCGAATTTGTTATCATCCAAGCCAACAACATTTTTCAACCGAATTAATAGTTTAGGAGCTATACATTAACTTTCCGGCAATTTGCTAATCTCAAAAAAAAAATGTCTGTTATATTCTCATTTCGTATTTACATTCGGAGGAAAATCTTTCAACGAATTAATATACAGTTATACAGAGTTAAAAGGTAGTATACACTTTGTACTAATATAATATTAACAATTATTTACAAGAAAATAGTTTTCCCTTAATTTTGTATGAAAATATATGTAGTTAATTTTATAACATAAACCATCTAAATCAAAGTTTCACACATTGTTTAAAATTCACAAAAATTCCACAAATTTTCATTGAAGTTTCAAACTTTTTAAAGAAGCTTAGGAGAATTTACGAGTATGCAGTTTCGTAGGCATTTAATTTTAGTATAGAAAAGCGCAAGTTTCAAGTCGCTGAAGATTTTTGAGAATTTGTTTTTAACCACCTGTTGCGCTTTTTCTTCTATATACATATGTACATATATATAAATAGATTTTGATTATGCGATATTGCTGTACTAAAATTTAATGGGCTACAAAACTACATACTCGTAAATTCTCCTCAGCTTCTATAAAAAGTTTGAAAATTTGATGAACATTTTTGGAAATTTGTGAATTTTACGCCCTATCTCAGCTGCCGATTCAAAAACGCCATATATCAGCACATTTCCAATACATTTTGAAGTTAGATAGGGCATTTTTGAGTCGAATTCTGAAATAGGGCGTTCTTCAATCAAATTCTGAGATAGTGTGTTTTTCAATAAAATTTTTAAATAGGGCGTTCTTGAAAAGTTTTTTGGGATAGGGCGTTTTCGAACTGGCTGCCGAGATAGGGCGATCTTCCACTCAGCAGTCGATATATCTTCATACAAAATTAAGGAAAAAAATTTTTCACTAGAATAATTGCTAATAAGTATTATATTACAACAAAGTACATACCATCTTTTGACTCTGGCTGTATGGAAAAATGTTACACGTCGGATAATTTTTAAGTTCGGCAAAGTTAATATATTTAATTATTATTTTGACGACGAAGAAATTCTACGAACGCGTCTTTCATTTCGCCCACATTATCCGCATACTGTTGCAAAATGGCAAGCCGTTTGTCATCTGCTTGCTTCATTTCTTGTGTTGCCATTAAGAAGTCGGTGCGCATATCCTCCATCACTGACACTGCCGTCTTCTTTTGTTTTTTGCAGGCTCGCTCGAGGAAGGCCTATTGGAGGAGTCTACATTTGATGAGCTAGGACTGGGAAGCGGTGGGCATGTTGTTGACTCTCCATCCGTCTCGATTTCGATACACTTGTAAAACTCGGCTTCGTTGCAGTCAAAATCAACTAAAATATTATATACATATAAAACAATAAAAAATGATCTCGAAATTAAATAGAATTTATTATTACGTAGCCATAATACTATCCTCCATCAACTCGTCAGCGCAGTAGCTCTTTTGGCATCCAAGGGCTTCATGGACGGCATTATACAGTCTCCACGTAGATGGAGAGCCACCCGACGGACCAACTTTTGCCCTTTCTTGCCTATAAGTATTTAACAAATAAATGAAAGAAAATAAAAGTTAATTTAGTAGCTACTTATGTACCTGTATTTGTTGGAGAAGTTGTGTAACTTAACTCTCACTTCCGCTCCAGTATATACGAAGCCAATGTTTCCCAGATCGCTGGCCATCTCCTCATAGATATGGCCATTCTTTCGAGCAGACCGCAGCTCTGGCATTTTCTCGCGCCACAACTCAATCAGAGCAGCCTCCGCCGCCTCATTCCAAAGTACCCTTTTTTTTGTTTAGAGTCCATCCGCAATTAAATTTTCGCCAGTAACTTTCGTTTATTTTATATTAATTCTTAACTACAATTTGACAGTTAATAATTGTCAACATCAGCTGTGGTGAATTTGTTTTCACAAACAGAGGGCGCTAAATCAGGGTTGCACAGCGAGATTTCATGAGGATTAACCCCTGATCCACTTGCGAAATCTTGCTATCTCAAGGGGATTGGCGAGATAATTACGATAAGTATGTTAATTACAAGATCAATTTTGGTCTGAACTTAGTATTAGTTATTACTATTAATTTTAAACTTTCTTAAACCTTAACGAAATAGAAAATCGCTTATATCTATACAGTGACTCGCACAAGTATTTGGAATTGATTTTTTCGCGAAATTGAAATTGTTATTAAAAAGTTTGCAATTTGGAAAATTTTCTGAATTTTCTCCAAAGTTTGAAAAAGTTTGTGTGAGTCACAACATATACCACTTGTTAGTTTTTTTTATATTCGCAATATTTTTCAAGTTAAATTTGTATAAGCAATTTGTAGAAGCAATGGATTTAAATAAATTAGTACGTAAAAGCATGCCTGTAATTGTATATTTTCATTTTAAATGAATTTAGTTAGTAGCGAATATGCTGTATAGTGTAAATACCTGGGTAAGCAGCGAGTATGCTGATACTTGGGTAAGTAGCGAGTATATTGTCAACAGTAAATACCTGGGTAAGCAGCGAGTATGCTGATACTTGGGTAAGTAGCGAGTATATTGTCAACAGTAAATACCGGGGTAAGCAGCGAGTATGCTGATAGCTGGGTAAGTAGCGAGTACACTGTCCATAGTAAATACCTGTGTAAGCAGCGAGTATGCTGATACCTGGGTAAGTAGCGAGTTTGCAATTTACGGTAAATACCTGAGTAAGTAGTGACTTAGGTCTACACTGTAAATACCTAGGTAAGTAGTCACTTTACTCACTACTGTAAATACCTGGGCAAGTAGCGAGTACACTACTTCTGGTAAACGACGGCGAAAATAACGAATGCGCTGTATTCTGGTAATCGATGTGGTGGCGATAATCTACAGCCTATGACATCGTTAATAAAAAAGAAAGGGAAAGGTAAACAGAAAGGTACGTACTGGTCATTACCCCGTGTCTACTGAAATTGTTAACGTTGCACTACTTACTTATACTAGAGGGATATTAGAAAGATTTTGTTTATATAAAAATTATTCAAATAATTACTAAAATTAAAGGCTTTCTCATTTATTGTTATTGGCATCACTAATTCAAACCTTATATTAAAGTAATCTGCCTTATCTTGAGTTTCGCCCAAAAAAAAAAAAATCATCCGAAAATTGGTCATCCGCCCATAGTACATACATGGAAACCAAAAGTGAAAATTGAACCGCTGATATATCGGCAACATCTTCCACCTCCATGTTTTTATTATTATTCCCACGACAGCCGGTTCTACGTACCGGGATGACTCGGGTTTTACCCGACCAAGGGCTGTTGTTTCGGCGATCTAGCCCGGTTTAGGTCGGCGAAGTATCTCAGAAGTTGTTCGTCCATAGGGCTGCATTCGCTACGTTTTCTTCTACTCAGGGCTGGCATCGAGTCAAACCCAGGGCCAGAAACCTACACCTGCTGTGTATGTCAGAGACGACTGCGCCACAACTCCACCTCAGTCAAGTGCAATGCTTGCGAGGGGTGGAGCTACCTCGGAGTCTGCTCAGGACTAAGGACACATCGGCAGTGGACCACGTCGTTTGTGGCCCCCTGCTGCTCAAAAAGAGCAGCCTCCACAGCTAACCCCAGTCCACCTGAGCAGACCCACACAAACACCACAGCACAACAACATAACAACACAATGGACCACACCACAACCGCGACAGACCACAGAACACTCACAACCGCACCACCACACACACGCCGCCGCCAACAACTCTTGGTTCCTCCTACAATCTGCACGGTATGTCAGACCAGGATATTCCGTAATGTGACATCAGTCAAATGCAACACCTGCCTTGGCTGGTGACACCTTAGGGCATGTTCAGGTCTGCGCACCATGCGAGATTGGACGAGGAACTTCGAGGGCCCGTGTTGCGCAGCACGGTCGCAAACCTCAACCGCGACGCCACCCACCACCACCACAGGGCGGCAACCACCTCAGCAGCGCACACAGCCAATAGCGTCGCGGCCACACACATCTCTCGCACCCCGCACCCTCGAAACTGCTGCCCGGCAGGATATCACCCTGACATAAGTGCGCTCCTCAGAGGTGAAACGATCGTAGGGGAACCGATTTGGCTGAGCAGATAGACGATTCGACATTCTGCACAATGAACGACGACGCACCCACCAGGATTATGGGCAGCTGCTGCAGCTCGCCAGATATAGCAATAGGCAGCGCTGGTGTGATAAACAGCATATCATGGCGACCTAAGCTGACTTTGTCATCAGACCATCTGCCCATAGTCATCTCGATCGATAAACCAACCAACTTTGCTTCCGCGGAGCACCGAACATATATCAACTTCTCCAAAGCTGATTGGAAAGGCTTCGCGGAATTTACTGAAAACACCATCGCTGCTCTCCCCACACTAACCAACGTCCACCTTGGTGAACGTAAGTTCCGCAGGGCTGTCACTGCTGCTGCAACCCGCTTCGTACCGGCAGGATGCATCACGGACCCACGTCCTAATTTCCCTGCCGAAGCGGCTGTTCTAGCCGATGAGCGTGAGCCTTCGTCAGGCCGATCCCGGAGATCCCCGTATCAGGGATCTCAACGCGGAGATTCGGCAACTAGTGAAGGTACATAAGCGGAAGAAGTGGGAAGAACATCTGAAGACCTGTAACTTCACCTCTGGTGTGAGTAAGCTTTGGTCAACCGTAAGGTCACTGTCACTGATGCGCGAGCTACTTTAGCCGGCAGTTCATACTGCATCCTCCGGTGGACAAAACCAAGCGTCGAGTGACCAGAAGGCTGCACAAACTGCCAACAAATTGTGCCCCCTAGCTTTCACTTGTGGTGAAGTTCAGGTGGCCATCGGGAAGGCGAAAGCCCCCAAAGCCATGGATCCCGACGGAATATGTATGCTGATGCTGAAAAATTTGGGTCCTGCGGGAGTAGCCTACCTAACGGAGGTCCTCAATTAGTCTATGGCCACTCTCATCATCCCAGACATCTGGAAGGTGGGGAGAGTGGTCCCACTGCTCAAACCGGGGAAACCTGCCAACAAAGGAGATTCGTATCGACCGATGTGAGGGAACGATTCTAGTAGCGTTGGACCTGTCAAAGGCTTTTGACACTGTCAGGAATTTCACGCTACTAGAAGATATAGAGGCTTCCTCTCTCTCACAGAGGCTCAAACGGTGGTCGGCAAATTGTCTGAGTGGTCGACACTCGTCGGTAATGTTTAGAGACAAATCGAGCAAACTTAGGAAAATCAAACAGGGGGTTCCACAGGGTGGTGTCCTTTCCCCGCTACTGTTTAACTTTTATATTTCAAAGCTCCCTCAACCACCAGAGGGAGTCCCGATTGTCTCTTACGCCGACGATTGCTCGATCATGGCGACTGGGAATGGAATTGATGACCTGTGTTCGAAAGTAAACGGGTATCTCTCCGATCTTTCTCGCTTCTTCACTGCAAAGTGTCTAGCCCTCTCCCCTAAGAAATCCTCTGCGACCTTGTTCACCACCTGGACGAAGGAGGTCAGGCTACAGCTGGGAATTCACGTCGATGACACACCAATTCCGACGGTGAATAACCCCAAAATACTCGGAGTAACATTCGACAGCGTGCTCTCCTTCTCTGCGCACTCAACCGCTATTGTCAATAAAGTACAGAGCCGCAACAATGTCCTCAAGTCGCTAGCCGGCAGCACTTGGGGCAAAGATAAAGAAACGTTGTTGGCAACATACAAGGCAATTGGCCGGCCGGTTCTAAACTACGCAGGGCCCGTATGGTCGCCGGGGACTAGCAGGATGCAATAGATGAAGCTACAGACCTGCCAAAACACGGCATTACGAACTGCGACAGGATGCCTCCTGATGACGCCTCAACACCACCTTCATGACGAGGTCCAGATGCTCCCAGTATAGGAGCATAACATAATGCTCTGCAAGCAGTTCCTTACTGGGAGCCACAGACGTGGCCATCCCAGCGCACAACTGCTCGCGGAAGAGCCCACGGCACGTCAGGAGGCATCTTTACGAACTGACGGACAAAGTCCAGAGGTTTATCAAACAACCTCTGGACCCGTCAACCTACCGACAGGCCCTGAACGGAATTCACAGGGAATCAGTCCCAAGATATGTAGACTCCCGCCCTGTGAATGCCGTTCTAGGCACACAAACACCGGACATTGCCGCGACGGAGCTCCATCTGCCTCGGGAGACAAGAACCACAATAGCCCAACTTCGCTCTGGCTACTGCAGCAGGTTAAACTCATACCTGAGTAGACTAAATGAGGATGTGCCAAATGAATGTCCGGCATGCGGAGACACCCCTCACGACTCGAAACATCTCCTCGCATGCGCGGAAAACCCGACAACCCTAACGACGTTGTCCCTGTGGACCGACCCCGTAGAGGCTGCACGCTTCTTGGGGCTGCCGTTAGTGGAACTCGACGACAACGACTGAGATATCAACCGATCTGGGCGGGGTTGTTGTAGCCGCTACAACAACAACAACATGTTTTTATTACACTTAGCTGCAACTAACAGAATAAATGCCACGCCGGTTTTTCGTACATTGTTTTCGCATTAATATTTAATTATATCAATAAGTTTTGCGATTTTTTGTTACAAATTCAGTTAAAGTAAACTATAGTGAACATCTAGATACAGACATGTGGTCATTTAATGCATTTTTTAACGTGAATTGTGTTCTGAAAAAGTGAACTAAAATCGAACGTTTTTTTACGAATAACTTTCGAACGGTTAAAATAAATCCATTTCCGCCTCCGGATTCTGAACGCTGGTGGTAATACGCGTCGTTTTATACCCCTTTCGATTATTTTACACCATTTTTTGGTGGGGACCATGAACTGCACCATAACCGTAAAGTGAAGTAACGAAGTGAAGGCTTCCAAAGTGAAGTGAAAAACTTCAATTGAAGTGAAAGCGGCAGCACTGGTTCGGGCTATGAGAACGATTTTTGAAGAGTTGTGTAGAGAATGAAGTTGCAAGACTTTACCCAAGGCGAATTTGTACAAGGTGGTGTTACTGGCGAATTTAGATTTTCGCCGCGGTACTTCTTAATGTCAAAATGATGAGTTTGTTGTAATATGATTTCGCCTTGTTTACAACAGACACATAATTTTGACATTAGGAAGTACCGCGGCGAAAATCTAAATTCGCCAGTAACACCACCTTGTATAAATTCACGGTGGAGAGAATACAGAAAGTGGCGTTGATGGAAACACCGCTAATCGGCTCTAATTGAATTTAACAAGAGCAGCTGTTTTTCTGACGTCACAGTCGAGTTGACACCAGTAGTGAAGTGCTGAGTCAATACTTTTAAGTATTGATCGAAAAGCGGTACCGATTTAAAAATTATCCAATGCTCTCGATACTCGGTACCGAAACATTTATGTTTCGAAGAAAAGCGCACATAGGCCAAAAATATAGAAAAAAAACGGGTCAGGTAAGACTCGCCTATCAAAACCCGAATGTAGGAACCAATAGAGCTTTTAACACTGATTCAAATGAAGGATGTATATATGTCGGTTCGAGGCCATAATACAGAGAAACTCTTACCTGTGTGAAGCATTTTTGTTCCAGCTGAATCGGACGATATCATTTTTGTAGGCCTGGGGCAGGTTCTGTAACCAGTTAGCGACAATTTTCGAATCGATATCGGTTTTGTTGACGTATGATATGAAATATTTTTACGTCGACAAGTGCGATATGGATTCGAAACTTGTCGCTAACTGGTTACAGAATCTTTTCCCTAAAAGGCCTCTTCATCCGTCAAAGCGTTTTTCTTGAACCTTGGCTCGACTAAGGTTAAAACTGATAAAATAATATTCCTCTGTTGCGATAAGTTCAAGTGTTTTAGCCGATATCATATAAATTAGTAATGAAAGTTTGTTCTAAACTTGATATGCATATAATGGCGAAGGTTTAATGAAAAGAATCGGTATCGGGTACCGAAATGGAAGTATTGGGTACCGAAATCTTTTTTAAGTATTGTGTACCCTCTCACCAAAGAACGTAAATCTACATGATTCAATAATACAAGGCTCGATAAACTGACAGTTGTCTCTCTCGCACCGCTAACTTAGCAGTGGCACAGTGTTGCTTCTTTGCAAATTTACATGGAAACAGTGTAGCTTTGGTGTGAAATAGAAGTATAAGCTTTTGTGCAATATGTTTATATGTATATGCATATGAAGCATACTTAACTGATGAAAACATAAACTGTTTTTAAATTGAATTGGGTGGGCTTTAGATTGGTAACCCCGGAGTACAGCATTAAGGAAAATATGGGAGGTAGAGGGGGGTCTAACAGTTCCCTGTATGAAGTTTCAAAGCGCGCAACCTTGTACTTTTTAAGCAATTTGTTATTGAAGTTTGTAATTTTAACCAACTTGTATGACACTATTTTACAATATATAATGCACCTTCCACTAAATTTACAGGTTATTTACATTCAATATATGCGCAGTTAGAGTGTGCACGTTCAAACAAATAAATACTTTTAGTATATTACAGCTTTTTTTATCAAAAATTGATTGTTGTTTAACTTATGAGAGTACATGCAGAATATGTGCAAATGGCAGCAGGACTGTGTTGCCATATCTACAAAACCAAGAGTGGAAAGCAAGACCGGAAGAGGGGAATATGACCGCAAGCCCCCCTACTATTTATTTTTATCTGAACAAAAGAAGCTTATCGTATTTTCCTTTTAATCGTACTTTCTTTTGGTCTTGCTTTCCACTCTTGGTTTTTTAGATATGGCAACACAGTCCTGCTGCCATTTGCACATATTCTGCATGTACTCTCATAAAATTAAACAACAATTAATTTTTGATAAAAAAGCTGTAATATACTTAGGGCCGTTTGCACCATGTCTAGTTAATTCTAACTCCCAGTTAAACATCTTTATCGACGTTATCGACACCCATCATATAACATGTGGTCGATAAAGCAGTTAACGTGCTTAACTGAAGGATGTACCTCCAGTTAGCGTTAACTAGACATGGTGCAAACGGCCCTAAATAGCACATAGATTACGTAATTCACGTAGATATATCAATATTACGTTCAACATTTCGTTTGAAATACCAGATTTCCTGCAAATACATTAGAATTTACAAAAGGAATTTCACTACTAATTGCCTACTTTGCGTACTTTTCTACTACCATTTTCACACAAAAAGATTTCATTCTTCCCCTTTCTCCGTCCTTCGTAAATGCAACCTTTTGTAAGGGAGTGTCAAACCGCAGCTGTCAATAATTATCTAACCTTGTATTATTGAATCATGGTAAATCTATAAGAAGCGACAACACGTTATAATTATAGCGAGTGTGAACATCAGGAGCGTGCCCTCACTTTTCATCCAGTCTAAAAACGTATTTGAGCAAAAGAGAAGGCACGGTCCTGATGTTCACACTCGCTACAATTATAACGTGTTGTGTCTTCTTATAGATTAACGTTCTTTGCTCTCACGAATTCTGCTGCAATCGGCGCAATCTTGTATTCTATCATTCTTGGTATAAATTAGCCTCGATTTTACCCGAACTTTTTCTTCTGGTAAAATAATGACAATTGTCAAGCGTTCACTTGTTGTCGCTTTTACATGAAAAATGCTTCTTTTGTTCCCGTACTCACTTCAGAGAGTAATTTAGCTGTATGACAAATTTTACAGGATTTAACACGAAAAGTACAGGATCAGAGCTAATTATTGCTTGCAAGAGCATTTTCCATTGGCAAAATTTTGCCTGATAACATTATCAAGATAAAAACTGTTGCATGTGGAGACGGCAAGTTATAGCGCTATCGATAGTTTGACAACTACAGTCCTTTTCTAAATTGTTTATTTCTTGGATGGAATGAAACCAAGCTTCCCTTCTACCTTTACATCTACTTCTGAAACAACCAGCATATCGGGAATTTTATTTGAATAAATAAGGACTGGAAATTTAGTTGGACTGTTTCACGTTGTGATCGGGTAGAAAATATAAACAAAAAAATGCATATCAAACAGGTAAATATCGAAATACATATGAGCCAACGAACTTATGGTTTAATGAGATTATTGCAGATTATAATCCAAGGTTTCAAAAGCTATAAGGACCAAACTGTAGTTGAACCCTTTGACAAAAGGCACAATGTTGTCGTGGGCAGGAACGGTTCAGGAAAGAGCAATTTCTTCTATGGTAAGCTATACAAACATTTGTACGGGACTACCATCGGGTACTGTTTAGTAAGTGGCCCACCTATTTCGGGGTATTGCGTCCAAAGGGGTGACCCGATCCAAAAAAAAATTGCACACACTTGTAGCCAAGGGTCTACCCATTATTTTAACATCCACTATTGTAATTTTTGGTCACTAATTTATTTACAAATTGGGTTTGAAATATGCCCTTTTTTGTAAAATTCGGAAATTAGCGTACATTTATCACTCCTATTTTCCTTAAAGCAGCCACTTCACCAATGCATTTCTATATTCCCCTTCACTTTAAACTTTATTCGACTTGTTACAACTTTCTTTATTACTTTAATTTTAACCTATCAATCACAATTTATTAAATAAAAACACCTTCAAAACCACTCGTCTGCCTTTGGTTGCATATGCAAATTAAATGGCGGCGTTTAGCTGTCAAACTGCTAAATATACAAGAAGGATGAGAGACAAAAGAAAATATGATATAACCCAGTCAGCATTAAAAAGGCAGAAAGGTGTTCTCTGCAAAAGGAGTTCAGCCCCCTTTCTTTGGCAACACAGAAGAGAATTCTACGTAGTGAGGGTTATAATCCCTAAGTGCGGCCGAAGGCCGCCTACGCAGAAAGGTGTTCTCTGCAAAAGGTGTTCAGCCACCTTTCTTTGGCAACACAGAAGAGAATTCTACGTAGTGAGGGTTATAATCCTTAAGTGCGGCCGAAGGCCGCCTACGCAGAAAGGTGTTCTCTGCAAAAGGTGTTCAGCCCCCTTTCTTTGGCAACACAGAAGAGAATTCTACGTAGTGAGGGTTATAATAGCTAAGTGCGGCCGAAGGCCGCCTACGCAAAAAGAAGTTCTGCGCTAAAATACTATCATATTACTATTACTACAACATTTCTATCTGTCGCTTTTTTCTTAATTTCACAATATTTTTAGTTAATTTTTTTTTTAGTTAATTTTTTTTCGTAAAGTGGCGACTGTCCCCTTTCGAATGAGGGGGGTTTGGGGGGCCACGCCCCCTCCCCCTCCGCCCCCACCCCAAAAACGATGGGCCAATAACTAAACATTTCCCCTACCATTAATATTGTATCTGGTCGAACATTAGAGATTCTGGCTCTAAGGATCTTTAAACATTTGTTTGAATCTCGGATTTCTAAAGGGCTCATTTATTGAGATATCTTAACTGCAACTGTGTTCAGAAATGTATAAATTCAAAACATCAGTACTATATTTTGTCAGTTGGTTGGTGTTTAAAGGGGCGGTGGGCTAAGGTCACCTCCAGCCCGCATTTTGGGAAATCTTTAGCTATTTGTACAACGATTTAGGGTTGGGGGCGGAGAGGGAGGGGTCGTCGCTCCCCAAGCCCCCCCTAAACGGAAGAAGATGAACGCCGCTTTATGAAAAGTCACCTCTCACGCCCCTCCCCACTAAAGACTAAAAGAATAGACTAAAGACCACTTGGTAACTGAAAACAGCGGAAATTTGGATTTTTTACAAAACGATTATAGCCCTCACTACTTTCTCTGTTGCCCAAAAAGAGGGGCTGAACACCTTTTGCAGAGAGCACCTTTCTGCGTAGGCGGCCTTCGGCCTCACTTAGGGATTATAACCCTCACTTAGTAGAATTCTCCTTTCTTTTTTGCTAAAGAAGAGGGGCTGAACACCTTTTGCAGAGATATTTCGTGGATATTTTTTTTTTGACAGCTCAGCTCGGAAACTTGCAAAAAATACCAATTTCCAACCGACATTATTAATATTTTTGGGGAACAGATATAGTATATTTTATTTTTGTAATAAAGCGTGAACTGTTGTCTATAAGTGTGTGTAAAAGGTTTTTGATTCGATTCACGCGTTTGGGCACAGCAACCCAAAATCGTTGTACAAATTCATAAAGAGTACCCCGCATTTTAGAGAGGGCACGACCGCCATTTACAAAAATGCTTCTCTCGAAAAAATGCATTCCCCCTATGGGACCCTAGGTAGCCCTTAGAAAAATGGCCAAAAATCACAATTTTCACTTGCGTTTGTTCGCTAAAAAATGCTGAGTATTACCTATTTGCAGCAAAAACTCTATACACCCTTGACAACAGAAGAGGGGCCTTGCCCCTCTCCGGCAACACGGAAAGGAGAATTCTACTTAGTAAGGGTTATAAATCCTAATCGCGGCCGAAGGCCTAAGCAGAAGGGGTTATTATCTAGTTTAGGGGACAACTTAAAAAACACCAAAAATGTGTGAAGGGGTATCAATCGATGCGTTTCGGTTCCTGTATAAACAATCTGGAGGCGGAAGGTTAATATTTAGCTCTATCGTGTAGACACTTACACTTTCATAAATGAACAGAATGTTCACTACCGACTATTCACCCGTATGCTGTAATCCGAAAGTTCGTAGTTACGAATTCGTAGCTCCGTTCCGAAAATTCGAAATTCGTATGCTGCAAGGCGAATTTATATAAGGTGGTGTTACTACCCAGTAAGAACCCTATCTGTTAACAAATGCGTTATATACGCCTAGTACCACAAAAAGTTTGTGTGAGAAATTCAAAAACTTTCCATCATTTTACATAGGCCTCCTGGAGAAATCTGACGCATAATCGTTTCAAGTGTGAGTAGTTTTCTCTTTCTTTCACATGGAATTCGCTATTATGTTATACTATATGTAGTTGTCTCTTTTCAATCAAATATTATTAAGCGTGCAACAAAAATATGCTTAAAGTCCAACACGCATACATGGAGAATCATGGCGTACATACGCTTTGCCATTTACTCGAAACAGAAATCAAG